ACTGACTCAGAATCTGCCCTTAAACAAGACCTGCCCCACTCACCAGGTGGTTCACATGCACCTTAAAGTTGGAGAAGCAGACTCCGGACAGACCAGTGGTCCTCAGCTGTGGTTCGGCATCACCAGTGCCCACCCACAGTCATTGAAAAACTCCCTCAGGTGATTTTAATGGGCCGTGAGGGTTGAGAGCCACAGTTCCAGAATGGTCAGCTGTCCGAGGACAGGGACTCATCAGGCCTGTCTACTGCCCCGCCTCCTCTTCCCCAAAGTTCGCAGCACAGTGCCCAGGACACAGCTGCACCCACAGAATTCCACACCAAAAACACCCTGCAGGATGCCCCCACCTACCTGCCTTTAAAAGAGAATAAAAACACTAACGACAGAGGATTATGTATTGCCTGGAACCTTGTAAATCTCTAACTATAATAATGAGACGGGTTTAGAAGGGGTCAGTGCTTATAGATCACTCGCCTCCGTTTTTGGAAATGAAACAGAAACTGAGATGGAAAATACAGATGAACTTTAAGAGACTGTTTCCCTTCAACAGACGACCATGGTTGCAGCAGGGAGGCAGGGCTTGTGCATGGATGGAGTGTGGTGAGCTGAGTCCTGTGTTACAAGCGAAATTCCAGGCTGTGGGCCTGACTCCTTCAGTACTGACCATAACAACACAGCATTGTTCTTGTTGTACCATCAGGCCAAACCCTCTCATTTTATAAATAAGGGAACCGAGGTCCAGAGAAGTTGGCAAGGCCACACCACCAGTTAGAGACAAAAGAAGGCCTAGGCTCCCACTTCTGGGTTTGTCCCCTCCCCCGCCCAACCCCTGCAGAACAGGAGACCCGACTGCCCAGCTTTGCCCTGAGCTCAAGCTTCTCTGGATCTCAGGTTCTAATCTTCATGGGAAGGCTGGACGGGACTTTTCTGCGGTCTCTTCCAACCTTGACCTCCTAGTGAGACAGTATAGCTAAACAGGAGCTTGTGTTCTAGCGTGGGACAGACCTGGATTTGGATCCCAGCTCTAACAAGTCCCTTATCTGTAAAATGGGGATTAGAATCTGCCCTACTCTATAAAATTGTGAATGTTAAGTACGATAATATACGTAAATCACTTAAGCATAACACCTGACACAGAGTAAGCAGAATTCCAACTGTGTGAACTTGAAGAAGTTGCAAAAAGATTGTAACCATGTTTTCCTAGTGCAAAAAAAAAAAGCCCTATCTGCCAGGCTGAAGTATACAGATGACAAAGTGAGAGAACATATGAGAAGGCAATTGGGAAATAAAATCAACATAAAAGGCAAAGCACTGCTCATGTTGTTCTATTATTATTATTATTATTTTCTTCTAGCTGAAGAACCTTGGAGAGTTTTAATCTAGTTCCAGAGCAGTGATCAATGCAGTGACACATAATAGGTGCTCAACAAATCTTTTCTAGTGACTTTAATAAAATTAGCATATCTGATGGAGTTACAAATTCAAATGCCTTAAGCAGCTAGGCAGGTAAGTAAGTAAGCTAAGCAGCATCTATTCAGGATCTGTGGCAAACTACAAAGTACCCGCCCTGCCTAGGAATTCAAATTCAACACTTTAAACACATTACACAGCCTTGCGCAGACGGCCACCCTGGACACCACTGATTCTGGTTCTTCATCACACCACAGGATATCCAATCATTTTGTGAGGTGGTCTTGCCTTTCCAAGTACATGAAAAGCATCCTGGAGATGAAGGCTGTGACTTATACCCCCCAGTCATCCTAAATGGCCTAGAATGGTGCTGGCCTCACGGCAGTGAGGGCCTCACTCAGTGAGCAGTTGTTGAACAGAAAAGCCAGAGTGTTAAATTGACCCTAGGACTCCCGGCACCTCTGAGATGCTGCGGGTGTGCACGTTTATCTACCCAGATCCTAGGACCAGGCTGAGCTGGTACAGGCTGTGCTGATATATGGTGACTGGGTCAAAAAAAAGAGACTTGCCTTTCAGGTTTTTCCTTCAACTGCATCAAATATGCTTGTTCCTGAGCCACCTAGGCAGGTGGTACTGATGTATCCAGACACATTATCCCTGCATGGAACAAGACAGAATGTACAATATGCCCACAAGTGCCACTGTTTTCAAGAAGTTTAGTCTCCACTTCCTGCACCCCTAAACTTCTCTGGCACCTCCTGGGGGCAGCATAGGGTATAGAAAGACTGGACTCCAGGTTAACAGATGGGGGTCCTGGCCCTAATCTTGCCACTTGCACTCACAAACTCTAGGCTGATCACTGGCAGGCAGTGTAACTTTTAGGAGCTTCATTATTTTTATTAGTTAAGTACAGACAACAATAATTACCTCAAAAGATCCTAGAGGGGATTAAATGCCACAGGTATATAAAGCTCCTAGCACTGCACGGCCCAACACAGCAGCCCATAGATAGCGCGTGTGGCTACTGAGCGCTTGAAATGTGGTACCATGAACTGAGATGGGCTATCTGTACAATACACAAGAGTATTCCAGTGTTGGTTTCCTTCCCCCACTGGAAGAACATCAGGGACCACGACTCACGCCCCCTTCCTCCTGCCAAAGCCGAGTCCTCCATTCACTTTTTAAATAAATATTTACAGTTCCCCACCTTGTGAAAGCTGCTGGAGCTACAAGGAGCAAAAGCAGACACTATCTTCTTCCTTGTGGACCTTACTGTCTGGTGGCATAAACAGACACTAATATAATAGATGTAAAACTGTAGTTGTGCAAGTGTGGTGAAGGAGAAGTACAGAGGGTGATGAAAGTGGGGAATTCACTTGGTGGGGGAGTCAGGGACCTCGGATGCCTCTGGAGGAAGTGATACTTGAGTGGAGATTTGAAGGATGAAGCGTTTACTGGACTAAGCAAGGTGAGTAGAGACGACCAGGGACAAGAAACTCTAAATGTAAAGATCCTTACATTTAGGGGGGGCCAGAGCTAGGTTTGTAGTATGAGGAGAATATTGAGCAAGAGGGATTAGTAAACTGACACGAGGGAGAGGTGGGGCGGGGCCAAATCTCCATAGCTTGGGTGAAGATCTGGGGCTGACCCTGCAAGAGGTGGGAAGCCCGCCAGTTTTAAGCGGCGGAGTGTTCAGATCTGATCTGCATTTTGAAAAGATCCCTCTGGCCAAGGTGCGAGGCCCACAGGACAGAGGGCCGAGTGCATGTGTGCAGATCAGTTAGAACACTGGAACAGTCTAGAAAAGAGGAGAGAGAGGCCTGAACCGAGGGGGAAGCGGCAGAGATGTAAAATAGATGAATTGCGAGCTACAGAGCCTGCCGGATCCACGGGGCGGGGTGATGAGCAGTGTGTGTGTTGGGGGGCAGGGGGGTGGGGGCGGAAGGTGGCGATGTCAAGAAACACTGGGTTTCGGATGTGTACCACTCAGCCCCAAACACTCCCCGAGCTCCTGTCGAGCCCTCTCCCATCCTGCGCCTCTGCCATCTCCTCCCTCTCGCATCCTCTCGTCGCGCCCCCGGGGTTCCATCCTCCTACCCTCCTCCTTGCTCAGACCCGCCGCTCGAGGCCTGACCCGCCCTCTTCCCCACCTGACGCCTCTTCCCGGTCCGGGACTGGGTGCCCCTCTAGCCCGGCGGACCCAGCTGGGCCGCGACCCCTCGGTGGACTGCCGAACTGGCGCGGTGGAGCCCTCTCCAACCCCTCAGCCCCCAGGACAGGAGCACGCCGCAGCCTCTGGCCCCCTTCCCGACCTGGCCTCTCCTTGCTGCTTCCTTTGGACCAAGCCCCTCTTAGCGGCCCGCCACGCCCGGGCCTCCGGGGTGCCCCTCACTCACCAGGGAACGGACCGAGGCCCAGCTCCCGCGCCCAGGTCTCGCCGCCCGGCTCTTCCAGCCTCCGCCCGCCCCGCCTTCCCGGGACCCCGCCCCGCGCAGGCCGACTCAGGCTTCTATTGCTCCGTTTCGCCGTCACGCTGAATTCTCTTTCTTTAATTGGGTTGTTTGCCTGTTACTCAAGTAAAGGCGGGCCCAGCTGTCGGGGAAAACGCCGGTTGTCCCCACCCCCCAGCGGAGGCCTCTTAAAGAAACAGGCTGCTTCTCCTCCTTCCCCAACACCCTCCCCTTCCCCGCGGGCTATGGGATAAGGAAAAACGGATTTCTCAGCAAATGCAAAAGGCAGCAGTTTTTTCTTTTTCCTCTCAAACTTCTTTTTTTTTGCCACAGCCCGGGAGTGAAGGAAAAGGCTTTGATTCCTTGTGATAAGTCAGTTTTTGAGGGCTAAGCTTGTCCTCTGGTGACGCTCAGCCCCGTGCCCAGGGGGCAAATAACGCACACTCAACAGTGGGGATAACTGAGTGGGAGGTGACAGTCGTGTCAGAGGCTGCTCACCACCAAGATTGAGCTAATTATACCAACACCCAGGGCTGACCGTGGGCGCTGAGCAGAGGCAGAGGGGTACAGCTCAGCTGTACTGCTGGTAGAGACCCGTGGGTGGTGGCATTCGTCACTGCACCTGCAATGGGAACAAGGCCGGCACTGCGCCAAGGCCTTACTCGTGCTATCTCCCTTTAAGCTCACGGTAACTCTGAAGTAGGTATTAAGTTGATCCTCTTGTTACAGACAAGGAAACTGATGCTCCAAGAGGGCCAAAGATCATACAGCTAGTGATGGGCAGAGCAAGATTCCAAACCATTTCCTCTCACAGATCCTCACAACTCCCAGAGGTAGGTATTTTTGTTGTTCGTTTTACAGATGCTCAGCAGAGACTAAATAATGAAACTGATACTTGGCAAAGAGACTAAGTAATAACTGCCATTTATATAGCACTTCACAGTCTGCTAAGCAGTTTTACATATGTTGTTTCATTTGATCCTCAAAATATCTTGGAATTGAAGACAACTTTTATTAGTCCTATTTTATGAGTGAATAAAATGATGCTCAGGGAAGTTGAGGCTTAGTAATAGCTGATATCGCTACAGCCCATGTGGAGGTCATCAGCAAGTTTTCCATATGGAAAGGTCCAGATAGGCAATATTTTTGGCCATATGGTCTCTGTCACAACCACTCAACTTAGCTCTTGTGGTATGAAAGTAACCATACCGGAGTCTTTTTATAGACCATTGCTTTGTGGGATCCTCACAGCCCTCTTGTTATTATTCATACTGCTATTATTTATTGTTAATGTATTAGTATCGTTGATGATGCTGTTATCATCCTTTTCATTTTATACAGGAGCAATCTAAGGCATGTCAAGGTTAGGGATTTACCCAAGGTCAACACAGGAACCAGAAGTCAGATCCAACTTTCCTCACTCCAAAGTCCATCCTGTCTCCCACATTGCGTCTCGAGATTGCAGGAGAGCTCCGCCTCAGTGTAGCGGATCTCCTTCCTGCGCCATGGCGGGATGACAGGCCCTGTTCATTTTACCTTTTCCTGGCTCCAGGGGTTATTCCTCCTCAGGACTATCCTCCCACTCCTCCCTGCCTTCCCCATTTCCACCAGCCTGTGAACACTTCTCCTTCCCTGAGCCACGGTGCTTATACCTAGCAGCCTTTAATATTACTGAGAATAGAATCTGCTGGAGAACAGGCTCCCTGGGAGCAGTGACTGTGGTGCAGGCTGCTACACTGCACTAGCTGTGTAGTTTTAGCTGTCTGCCGAAACCCTTTCTCCCTGTCTTCCGCAGTCATGTGTCTGCCTGGCTAAGCTTCACTTCCCAGCCTCCCCAGGTAAGTGGGTCCTTGTCAATGGACGTGATGTGTAAAACTGTGGGCAAGGACTTTAGCCAGTGGGCCTGCCTTCTCTCACTCTTTCTCCTCACTGGCTGGGCCCGGCCTTGCCCTCGTGATGACAAGGATGTGCTGAGGGATGGCAGTGCCATAAAATAAAAGGTGCCAGCATCCCAGAATGATTGCATAAAACAGAAAGTTATCTGCTGACCTGGAATACTTCCAGGTTGCTTCATACTCTCATGGGAAAGAGAAGCAATCTTTGTTATTTAAGCCACTAACTCTTTCTTTTTGGAGCGGGGGATAGGTCAGGGAGTGGGGGACATCTGTTTGTTCCAGTCAGCCCTGCACTTACACAACCCTGAGAGTTTAAATTTAAAATTTAAAAATTTTGTGGCTCAGGTGCCTCACTCTCCTCGCCCTCATCCTGGCCCTGCTCAGTACACATTTACCCAAGCACCGAATCATTCACTTTAGCTTTTCAATACTTTGGGTCTTTTTTTAATTCCTGATATGATAGTGCAGGTTCTTTAATTGCAAGTCTCAGGAACCAATCGTGGCTAACTTTAGCATAAAAGAAATGTATTGTCAGGCTAGTGGTGAATTCACAGAGGTGGCAGGAAGCTGGAGAACTAGACTTAGAAAAGAACAGAGAGAGTGGAGATGCTTTGGGTGTTCAGGTAGCCAAAATGAATCAATTCCATCCTTTTCTCCCCTTTCTTGATCAGAGCCAAAGTTCCTAGAGCAAGAGTCTGATTGGCTGAGCTCAGGTAACATGTCCTCCCCTTAGCTTAGGAGGGTAGACACCTTGATTGACAGCTCCACTAAGACTGCACACAAGGGAAGAATTCCAGATCCCTCCACCTCCACCTGAGGCCAGGTGCCCTGTTTTCAGGCTGAGATCAAGGAGAAGTACCTGAAGCTGAATGTCATGATTACACAAACCCAACAGTGTCTGACACATGGTAAAGTGTAATAGTGAAGATTCCTGGTACAGACCTCTCTGCTACTTAGCAGCTGTGCATTCTTGTGTAAGTTATTGGATCTCTCTGAACCTCAGTCTCATCTGTACCATGGAGATAATAAGAGTACAGCGTTGTAGTGAGAATTAAATGAGATACGGTAAATGTACAGCACTTAGCATGGCACCTGCCACGCGATACGTGTTCAATAAGTTGTAGGTAGTTTTCAAAACGGTAGCGAGCCTTTAGTAAGTATTTATTGTGTGTTAATTATCAATAATATTTCGAGCTCCTCTAAAATCACATCTGAAACTGGAGCATATCTAAATACGTCTCCCAATTCTCTAATCCATTGACCGTCCACGTTTGCATGGTCTGTCACTCCCTCTGTGGCCTCAGTTCCCTTTTTCTCCAGCTTAGAACTCTGGTCTTCCCTATAATCACTCCCTTGTGTTCACCCTCAACCCCCATGCTCACTTCTCTCTTCGTCTGGTCACCTGGAAAATCCCATCTCTGCCTAACTCCAGCTCACCACCTTTTCCACACATGTGCCCAGCAATGGACTGGGGCCAGAGAAAAATACAGAACCTTTCTGGCTCAAGTGGGCCCTCCCCACTACGGGGCAACCCCACGATACCGATTTCCCTGGCCAATTCACTCTCACTCACCCAGAGGTTGTCTCCTATCTTGTCTTTTCTCTGCCTTGACCTCCTCCCTCTTAGCTGATGAACTTTGTCAGAGAGCTGACAAAGAAAAAAGAAAGAAAAGAAACAATAAGGAGAAAACCATCTCCCGTTCTCGTAGCCAAATCCACCAGCTACCTGCATCAGTATGTGAGTCCTTGGACTTCTCTCCTGTCACCGTAAATGCACTTTCCCTGATCCTCTGTAAGGGGACGTACCCTAGATTTCATCCCTCTCACCTACTCAGAACGTTTCCTTCCCTCACGCCTATGATATCGACACTTCTGTCATTCCCATGCATCCACCTGTGCTGCCATATGGCCCATCTGCAGAGTGCCGGAGGGACTAAAAAGACAAAATCTTCACCACGGTCTACAGGACCTTAGATGATCTGGCACTTGACGACTTTGACTTACGCTCTTTCTACTCTCCCCCTAGCTCGCTCTGCTCGACTCTTACAGGTCTAACTTCTCATTTCTCAAACACCCCTGTGCCTTTGCACTTGCTGCTCTCTTTCTTGGAATTCCTTTCTCCCTGATCGTCACACGTCTTACTTCTTCACTTTATTCGGGTGGTGCTCTAATATCTCCTCGGACGAGTCCCCCTTGACCACTCTATCTTCTCTAATCCAGCCCCTCCAACCCTACTCCGTTCTCTTAACTGGCTCTCATCGTCTTCACAGCACTTGACATCTTATTAGTATTTTGTTTTCTGATTTTCACGTTAGTTGTCAGCTCCGCAGCAGCAAGGATATTGCTTGTCTTGTTCCCAGCTGTATCCCCAGTGCCTAAAGCATATCTAGTAATATAATATGTGATTGGTATCTTATTTATTGCATCATTGAATAAACAAATATAAAAAGAAACCATGGGTAAATGGAGAGTCTCTATGAACTTGACGCATGTTATGTTTGAATCTCTCTATATACTCATAAGTTAAACATGGCACTTTTCACATACAATTATCATTGAAGTACAATCCCTGTCCCACACCGTAAGGATTTCTGATACGGTGGCTCATCAATGTCAAGCCTATGTTTATGTACTAAAAGAAAAAGAACCAGTATTTATTGTGGGTCTACTATGCACCAAGAGTTATGTTGGGGACTCTTATGTTATGTTACACACATTATCTCATTTAAAACTGTCAACTTTCTAGAGTATTAGAGTGCCCATTTTACAGATGACGGAGACTGAGGTTAGAGATGCAAAGAAACTTGCTGAGGCCACACAGCCTGGTTGGTACCCAAGTTAGTATGACTTCAAAGTACAAGTCCTTCTCTTTGTACTACCCACTGAAAACCATATACCTGAGCATTTCATTCTTCAAGTTGTTCTGATTTTAAAACACTTATTAGGGATGGATACATATGAGACTTGTGCTCAAGTCTTTACATGATTTGTCTCATTTGATCCTCACATTCTTATGTGGTACATACTCTTATTACCTTTATTATACAAATGAGAAGACTGAGGCACGAAGAAGTTGAGACATTTTCCTAGGGCTATTTGGTGGAGTGGCGAAGCCAGTATTCAAATCTAATT